GCTTATGCACTCAACTAACGCATTTTTGTTCGGCTTTTCCTTGCCCAAAAACAGGTTCGCATGGATCACTTGCTATGATGCATTAAAATCCGGAATCTTTGTGTTTAGAAATGGTCACGTGTTACTGAACTTAGCCGTCCTATGGGTGTTACCGGAAATTCCTATCAGATATTGTCATCAACGTACTAGTAGATCTGAATAAGCCAGGTGCAGTAAACGGGACAGAAATAAAACGAAACGCAGGGCTAACGCAAACTGAAGTACATGAATGTTTAAATGCCTTCTTCAAAGAGGGAAAAGAACGGTAATCCACAATTAAGAATGAGTATCCTTTGCGCAGACAGTCAGGTATGAACAGAAAGAACAAATACGCCAGGTCAAATGAGACTGCATCTTTCGCTAACCTTTCTGATAGCCAATAACTTGCTGTCATAAGACGAGAACACAAGCGAAACTCGTGTCGCGAACTTTTCGAGAAGATACAGGGAAGAGTGCCAAAGATCAACCGCAGCCAAAATGGCTGTCATACAGAATAAGTATTAGTGGCACGATATGAAATCCCGACAACTGAGTTCATCATTTCGGCGCTGAGCTGATACCACTGTTATGATTTCTTGGAGCAGTTGCCTAAGCCATCTGAAAGGAATAACCGGCACTGAAAATAAACGAACCACGGGAGAACACTATGGCAAGTATCTTCCTACTTGTTCCTTTCGTTCAATTACACAAATCAGATTTGACCGTTGAGTGGGGACTACAATAAGAGAAAAATGGAACTATTTTGAAAAAGGTTAGTTGAGACGAGAGACTATGGAAATCAGGAAATGGAGCTACTAAAATAAAACCGCTGCAGACAAGATAAATCAATATGAAGTAGTGCGTCACGTAACCCTAACTAGAAAACAATGCCAGATGAATCAGAGAGACATACCCGAGAAATGAAAATATCCTTTAGATGGCCTATGCGTTAGTAGTAACGCGACTAGTCATAAATTCAAAAGTCATTAACATTACTGCAATTTTCGCAGTACAGCAGCAATGCAGGTTTTGGTCGAAAGGGGGACAGTAAGCAGGAAAACCTCACAAAAGAACCGAAATGACTATTGGCTGACAATAGTAAAGGGTCAAATGATCAATATGAGGACGGAACGAAAGGAAAATGAGTGCACTCTATACAGAGTAGTTTATACATATACAGTAACAAATACATTCAGCCTGGTTGCAAATATCGTTAAACTGTTAAGTAAAGTACTTCTCAAAGGAAGTATTTTAAACTGAAGTTCTTAATAATTCAGACGGTTTAAATATTCATTTCAAATTAATACTTTAAATAATTTAATAGGCGAATGAAAGTTAGTAACCACTAAGATATCTACAGCAACCTTGCATCTCAAGGTGGGAAGTCACATGGGATAGGATAGGTAAAACTTGAACAGTTGTTCCACAGTAAAACACAAATTAGGCGCTAAGCGATGTAAATCAAAACGGGATACAAAATAAAATAATTAACCTAAAGAATGGATAAACAAAATGTTTCGCCTGCGGAGTGCGGTTTCTGAGCAGGTAAGTAAACAATATTTGCAGAGACTATTTTAAGGTGTTTACAGCCGCACCTGTCAGAAAATGAGACTACAAGTTCTGATCACATGTTCCATGGAAATATTGAGTCGTCGGATGTGGCCAGATCGAAATTTCCGTTACAGCCGAACAGTGCATCTAAGCAACGTTGCATTCACAGAAACAGGAAATAACGTATATGTGATGGGTCTCCGATTCGGCATTGCTAATTCTACTAGTTCCATCTCTGACATTGTGGTTGGTGTAGAGAAGGGTCTCCTTCACTCCAGTGAAAGACTGAAAAGCCTTAAGGAAGAAATCATTTCTAACATCGGCCTTATTGCCCACAATAACTACCATAAATCTCGTTCTAAGCTAGCTGCCTGATATGCTTTGGCCATTAAAGGATTGAAGAAAAAGTTAAAAGTCAAAAGTTCCAGCATGTCAGTCCTTTGCGAGAACAAAGGAGCGAAAACAATGGTGATGCCTATGGATAAATAGGAAGCGAGAATGATGGATCACTCCAGAAACAGCGATGTATACACCCAAATGAGACGTAATGCCAACCTTAACAAAACAACGCGTCAGAAGCTGTCGGAGTTTCTAAGAAATTTTTAAAATAGGAAGGTCATCACCAAGTAAGGTAGGCAGAGGATCCTTCTAAGTAATGATTCTTGAGTAACCTCAAGACCTTATGGATTAGTCAAGCTTTATAATTCTGGTAACCCGCCGCGCGTTATCATCCCGGTTAAGGGAACAGTAGCATACCAGATTGCCAAAGAGCTGGATTCATTATCGAAACCTGGCGCTAAGGGAATGACTTACAGAGTAAAAGACAAAGGAGTTTCTATGCGAACTGAAGGAACATGATCATCGGGATTGTTTTATGGCTTCGTTGGACATCACTGCCCTTTTCAACAACGTGAATATTAACATACTGGATAATATTCTACCCGATATCTTAAAGAACGTAATAGAGAAGTGGAAGATATCCAAGAA